ATGTTACATATGCATATATCTACATGTATATACACGCGATTTAAGTAATTGGGTTACGGTTTGGGGTTTAGGGTTTAGGGCTAGGGTTTAGGGTTTGGGGTCACAGGGTCATCGGGTTTAGGGGCTGTTTGGGATTACAGGGTTTAGGGTTGGGTTGTTGTTCAGTGATGGTTTAGGGTTTAGGGTTTAGGTTTTAGGGTTTAGGGTTTAGGGTTTAGGGTTTAGGGTTTAGGGTTTAGGGTTTAGGGCTTAGGGCTTAGGGCTTAGGGCTAGGGTTTAGGGTTTGGGGTTTAGTATGTTGATTTGGGGTTCGTTGCAGGTGTTCGAAGTCTTGGGGTTTCGGAGGCGAGGCCTCCTTAGTCAGCTAAAGCCCTTCTAAAGCCCTAAACCCTAAACCCTAAACCCTAAACCCTAGACCCTAGACCCTAAACCCTAAACCCTAAACCCTAAACCCTAAACCCTAAACCCTAAACCTCTTCTAAAGTCCGTTTAGGGCGGCTTTCCAGCCCTTTGACCCCTTAAGCCCTGGGGGGCCCTCAGCCCTCATCCAACCTTGCCGGCAGGACCCGAGAGCACCACACTCGCACCCACAAGTTTCGCAGAGTCCGTCGCGCAGATCATGCCTCTTGGCCGGTGCTTAGGGTGTCTTGAGCTTAGGGCGGTAAGGCCCGGTTAGGGTTTGGGGTTTAGGGTTTATAGGGTTTAGGGTTTGGGGTTTGGGGTTTAGGGTTTAGGGTTTGGGGTTTGGGGTTTAGGGTTTAGGGTGTAGGAGGGCTTCCCCCAAGTATCCCCGAAAAGGTAAATGCGCTGCAATTCTTTGCTGGGGGCTGGGATTCCCTCGAACATCATCAAAACGGTAAACGCGTTGCAAGTCTCTGCTCGGGGTAGGGTTGCTTTAGGTAGGGCTAAACCCTAAACCCTAAACCCATAAACCCATAAACCCTGCTCAGGGTTGAGGGTTGCAGGGCTTTAGGGTTGCAGGGGTCCGAGTTTGGGCAGCACATGTTCTTGCGCACGGGAACATTGAAGATGCAGATGGCTGCAGGACTCATATCCCCGCTCTCAGGGTTTAGTGTTCTAGGGCTTAGGGCAAAGAATTCCAAGCCTACTTTTTGTAGGTTCTTCTAAGTCCCCTCTTTTAGGCTTCTTAGGCAACCTGCAAGAAGTAGCCGAGGGCCTGTATCCAGGTCTTGGTTTCCTAGCCTTTGTCAAGTTGCTTCAGCCCCACGCCCTGCGCAGTCGGGGGCCTTGGTTTAGGGTTTAGGGTTTAGGGTTTAGGGTTTAGGGTTCAGGGTTTAGGGTTTAGGGCTTAGGGTCTAGGGTTTAGGGTTTAGGGTTTAGGGTCTCATTATTCGGGTTCGGAATCGCTACGCTCCCGCCAGGGAGTCCGTCCAATGCCTGCAGCGCTACAACTCGACGCGCTTCAAGCGCAGCACGGCTGGGCGTTGGGGAGTTTTGGGGAGCTTTTGGGTTTAGGGTTTAGGGTTTTAGGGTTTAGGGTAAGTTAGAGGTTAGGCAGCGGGTTGCCCTAAAGCCTTATGGGCAACCTTTTGCTGAATCACAAAAGGGAAAAAACCATCCCCTGTAGGCTGTATTGCAAATATGGAAGCCTCATAAAGGGAAATCCGCCCAGAAGAACCTTCAATTTAGAAACATGCCCCCCCCCCCGTACTTGTCCTTGGGGGGGCAGGGTGGAGGGTTTACGGATGTCTGGGGTGAGATTCGCAGTTGTAGTCCGCCGCAAGCCCTCAATTGCCCTAAATGCTAACCTCTAAACCCCAACGGAACCCTGCAAACCCAAGACAAACCCTGCAAGCCCTGTAGCCTTTCATGCCCTGAAGCCTTTCAAATCCCTAAGCCCCAAACCCTGCAAGCCCCGAACCATGAACCCCTCATGAACCTACAGGGCCTAAGCCCCAAACAAGCCCTAAACCCTGAAAAGCCTAAACCCCCCCCAGCAAACCCTGGAGAACCCTGAACAGCTTCAAAGCAAGCAAAGCTGAACTCTGAACTACGGTTTAGGGTTTAGGGTTTAGGGTTTAGGGTTTAGGGTTTAGGTTTAGGGTTTAGGGTTTAGGGTTTAGGGTAGCTAGGTCCTGACTGCCGCTGCTGTCCCAGCGTCTTCTTGGACTGCCGAAGATGTGCCAGGGCAACAAACCCTAAACCCTAAACCTTAAACCCTAAACCCTAAACCCTAAACCCTAAGCGCCCAAAGGGAAGTCAGGTTCCTTTATAGGGAAGCTTCAGGGCTTCGCGGTTTTGTGGGTTCAGGGGATCCTAGTGGTTTGTTCATCTAGGCCCTTATTCCCGTTGCTTTAAGGTTTAGGGTTTAGGGTTTAGGGTTTAGGGTTTAGGGTTTAGGGTTTAGGGTTTAGGGTTTAGGGTTTAGGGTAGGGTTCCCTTATAAGCCCCTTAAACCAAAAGGGCGCCGTTTCTATTCCTAGGGCTCCTCTTGGGTGTAGTTGTTGTGCATTCTATTCCGAAGATGCGGTGGCAGAACCTTACCGCCCTGGCAGTATAGGGCTTTCGTTCAGTATAGGGTTCAGGGTTTAGGGTTTAGGGTTTAGGGTTTAGGGTTTAGGGTTTAGGGTTTAGGGTTTAGGGTTTAGGGTTTAGGGTTCAGGATAAACAGTTTTGGTCAGGGTTTTAGTTTGGGATTTCGGGTGTCTATCGTCTGTATTTAGGGGCGTTGCTACTCCTACTGGGTTGGTAGCAGGTGGGTTTAGGGTTTAGGGTTTAGGGTTTAGGGTTTAGGGTTTAGGGTTTAGGGTTTAGGGTTTAGGGTTTAGGGTCACTCCCTAAACCTCCAAGCCCCAAATCCCGAAACCCAGAGCCCCTAAGCCCTAGTTAAAGCCTGAACCCAAGACTCTTTATCTCTTTAAGCTCCCTTAAATCCCCTGAAAACCCTTGACCCCCTAAACCCTAAACCCTAAACCCTAAACCCTAAACCCTAAACCCTAAACCCTAAACCTTGAGCCCCTCTGATGCGGCAAAAGCCCCACAACTGCGACGTACCGTGCGCGAGGCGACTTCGAGACCCTCTGCCAGAGCTCCGCAACGCAGGCGTGGCTTTAGGGTTTGGGGTTTAGGGTTTAGGGTTAGGGGTTTAGGGGTTTAGGGGTTAGGGTTTAGGGTTTAGGGTTTACAGGGTGTTTATGTTCTTGGGTTGTCTAGAATTTCACGGGGTGTACGTAGAAAGGGTATTTGGGGTCAAGGGTTGAAGGTGTTTTGGGGTCAGTGTTTCGTGTTCAGAGATACGCCGGACAAATATCAATGTGTTGTTACCATAACTACCCCCCCCTGAAGTAGTAGGTAATATCCCATAAAGCTGTAGGTAAAGAGAGTCGCAGGGAGAGCTCCCAGCTGCCCCTTAAGTGCTGAGCGCGCCCGCGCGCGCTTGCGGACACAAGAAGGCCCAAGAAACAATAATGGCGGGTTTAGGGTTTAGGGTTTGGGGTTTAGGATTTAGGGTTTAGGGTTCGGAAGCTAGGGAAACCCTTGGGGGAGTTGAATAAAACTCACGAAGCTTGATGGAGGGTTTCGGGTCTAGTCTCCAACGTGAGTCAAAACGTGTGCCTTTTCCCATTGCCTTTTCCTCCGAAACCCTAAACCCTAAACTCCAAAACCCTGAACCCCAAAACCCATCGAGTGGTAAGGCCTCGCTGCAACGTCTCGCGGCGAATGTCTCGGCGCCACCGAAAGCAATTGGACGTTGGGTTCCTGCTGGGAGGTTCTCTACTCATATGGCTGCTAAACCCTAAACCCTAAACCCTAAACCCTAAACCCTAAACTCTAAACCCCATACGGCTGTTTCTGGTACCAGATTTCTTCTTCGGATGCGTAAGCCCTGAAACCTCAAAACCCTAATCCAAAAACCCTAAACCCTAAACCCTAACCCCTAACTTAAACCCTAAACCCTAATCTTCATCTTGCTAGCATTGTAAGGTGGCGCGCAGCGCAGATCTTGAGAAGCTGATGGCCACGGACGGCAGGCCTCTAGGGGTTGGGTTTTTTTTTGAGGGTTTGGGGTTTAGGGTTGAGGGTTTAGGGTTGAGGGTTTAGGGTTTCGGGTTTAGGGTTTAGGGTTTAGGGTTGAGGACGTACGGGTTTAGGGTTTAGCTAGGGTTTAGGGTATAAGGTTTCGAACTGAAGCCCAGTATGGCGTAGCAAGAAGGAGGGGATGTCGGGAGTTTCCCCGCAACCGTCACAACCCTAAACCCTAAACCCTAAACCCTAAACCCTAAACCCTAGACCCTAAACCCTAAACCCTAAACCCTAAACCCTAAACCCTAAACCAACCATTAAAACCTGCCACGGAACCCTTGAGCCTATGAATCCCTAAGCTATAAACACTTAGATCATCAACCCCCAAGCCTCTGCACATCCTACTGCCTAGAGCCCCTAAACCCTAAACCCTAAACCCCAAACCCTAAACCCTAAACCCCAAACTCGGGCTTCTGTAGCAGGACGCTGGGCACCTGCATCCGGTTGGCGGAGGTTCCTGGAGACGAATTTGGTAGGTTTGGAGTTTTCGAATTTGGGGTTTAGGGTTTTGGGCTTGGGTAGGCCTTTGGATATCTTCTATTTTCACTTGTGGGGTTTAAGAAGAGGCTCCTATGTAGTAACATTGGTCGGGGGTTTCTAGGGCCAATCACGTTGTCGGCTTGGGTTGGGGGGTGTGGGGGGGGGGAGAGTGGAGGCAGGGTTTAGTGGCTGAATCTCGTAGACCGGAGTATACTAAATCCATGTTTAGGGTTTAGGGGTTGGGCGTTTCAGACCTAACCTTAACAAAGGTTCAGTTAAGGGCTTAGGGGGTTGAGCAGTTCAGGGGTTTAGGAGAGTCAGCCCAGGTCTCGGGGCAAGCCCGAAGAGTCCCCCCCCCCCCCCAAGACCCGTACCTGCACCATCCCCGAGCAGTTTTTGGCTGAAGCTCCGTAGCCACTTTTCTTCGTATCTTTGTTCATACAGGAAGTGAAAAATTGGAAACAGCTTTGAAAGGC